GAGGGCAAGAGAAAAAAATCATTAATATCTGTCAACTTCCTTTATAACATTAAGAAAAAAATCTTTGTATGATATCACACAGACAGATTTTCAATTTCCTTGTGTAATAAACAGCTGCTTTAGGATTTGGGTGTAATCTAAGGGTTAAAAAAATCACATTGACATTGATGAATAAATCGGTTGTGAAGACAAAAACATTGATGCCTGTTGAAAATACGTCTGCAGACAGACAGGAAATGAAATTAGTTCCCAGTAAAGTGTGGGTGTGAGAGGATCACTGTTTGGTTGTGCTGCAGGCTTTTTTAGGACTTATTATGGTGGCACAACAAAACTGCTAGAGCTACAGAAATCTAATTAAAGAGCAAATGTCCCTTCTGACATCAAATCAATCTTTATCATGTTTCCTATTTTTATTTCAATCTGGCACCAGAAAATGAAATTTAAAATTCCAGGCATGCTGCAAAACAGTTGGTGATTTTTCTCTTGAGCATTAAAATGCAAAATATTCAGCCTTGTTTAATTGGGCTGCTAAGCAAACATTTTTCAAAAATGTACATCATCGTTACATATTTGCATCAATAATAAAAATGCACTTGACCCTAGGTTTGACCTCAGCATCTCTTTATACCATGTTCAGAAGGCTGTTTCATTTTCTAACTTGAAAGCAAGTAAAATAACGTTACTTCAGGCTTGGCTTGTATTTTTCTTGGTCCTTGGTTGTTTTGCTATTAGTGATCTTAAATTTAGGCCTTGACGTTAGCTGAATTTCATGGCTTTGTACTTTGTAGATGACACATAATTTTGGTTTTATAAACTTATTATGAAGTTACTTATTATACCTTAAACTAATAACTAAAAATTTTTACTACAATTTCTTATTAAAAATTAATGTTTTCCTGATATTCCCCCACCCAATCTTGAGGAACCATTTTCATCGAATGGGAAAAGAACAGTCATGGTTTCTGTTGTTGATTGTGTGGGGTTGAGTGGGAGCGGGCTGGTTTGTTTTTATTATTTGCTTTCTCATATGTTTCCATACCTCCAACTAAACTCAACATATTTCCAGCTACTCTATTTCTGAGGCTTGTTTACTTACAGGTTGCATTGTGCTGGCTGCAGAAGTACAATACGCAGGCATTAACTTAAAAAGATAGGACAGCCCTGGCACGGACACATTTCCAACAGGAGTATCAGCTAGTCTGTGTTAAACTTTATTAGAAAATGTGACTTACTGAGTCACTGCTATGGGCTAGGCCCTGAGAATATCCAGTAAGAAACTGAAACACTCTCTGATCTCAGGTCCCCATGGCCAGCCCTTATGACACAGGCTAAAATGGAAGGCCTTCTCTCCAGTTTTTTCCTACTGTTTGCCCAGCAACATACTAGACACTTAGGGAAAGAAGGCAAGAAAGCTGGCCAATAAGCCCCGTAAAAACAATATTATAGCACCATAATGAAATTCACCAAGGCCAGTACAAGTTCCTGCTTGACAGGGACACAGGATGGTCTGAAGAAAGAGAAAATCAAATCAACTTGGGAAGGATAGGAGAACTAAACATCCAGCTATATCTCTAACTTTTCACCTTCCTATTTTGGGGAAATGTTTATAGCTTAAACTGCAGGTGGTGTCTACATAAACACACTTATTTCCCACAATTTAGGAAACATGCTATTTCACTTAGTCTGTGGGGGTCAGATAACCAACCAGGCTGGCTGGATTCTCTACTTTTCAATGATTTCTTTCCAAAGTTTTGTCTCTGTCAACCACAGCTTTGGTAGGAGTTATTGTGGACATTAGCTTGAAGTCTTTATCATTTGAACAGAAAAAAAAAATTAATATCTTAAAGCCAATATTGAGAACTGAGGACATTTGATAATAGGTGTCTTTTAGTCTTTACCCAAGGGACTCTCAAACATGAATAAAAGTCTAAGGAAATCCTTAGTTAAAAATCAATCCTCGCATCATTCCACTGAGCTTTAAAAAAAATGGTAAAAACTCAACAATATTATGCCATCAAAAGCTCCCTGCAAGTAAATAGGGAATGGTTCATTTTTTAATCTCTTGATTTTCTCAGTAGTTAAAATCCGCTGCAGAAAGAGACAACCACAAGATTAAGATGCTTTTTTGGTCATTTCTAGCAAAACTTGCTTATGCTGCTCTTGAATTCACCAGATAAGCTAAAAATAAATCTTAGTGTATTATGCTTTTTGTTTACCAGATACAGCTACATACTTCAGAGATTCTGTCCTTGAATTTTTAATAACTTTGCAAGGATTAAAAGTCAACACTTCACCATGCCAGTGTATTAAGAGAATCTTCCTGAAGTCTGATTATTTGCTAGTTAATAGACTTTTCAATTAAAAAATATTTGCTCTGTCTTATGCATTTTCTTCTCTGTGTTTTCCAATGGCAAGTTGTTTTGAAATTCTTTCCCTAGATTAGTCCAACAACTGTTAAAACGCTTTGATAGAAATTTTTTAGCTGAGAAAGAAATACAAATAAAAGAAGAAGCAGATGGTCTCTTTGTGATTGAATGAAAAAAAACGGGTTTTGAGAACAATTTGTGAATAGGTGTAGTCTAATAAAACACTCAGCCACCTGCTGCCTGAATTCTTCAAAAAAGATTCTGTTGCATATTCTGGGGATTAACTATTAATGCATCCTTAGGTTTGATAGGAAACAAAGTTTGAGGGGTTTAGGTCCTTTTTCCCTTTGTTAAGATTGAGTTGGTTTCTCTATGTTTTAAATTGTTTCTCAGTTTATCTGCTCAAGAGTATAATTAAAGGTTTTCTAGCATGGTTAAACGAAGGAAAGGTAAGAAGAACAGGGTTGTGGGACATTTCTTTTCTACCTCTGTTTTATGTTTTCAAGGCCCTTTGGAGAGACACAAGCAAGGAGGGCAGTAGTGTCTGTGCAAAAAATGGATAAATATTTAGGAGCTTTTCTTCTTAAAATCCACTTTGATCCTTATTTGTGGACTTGCTTTCCCTTTCAGGGATTTACTATTCAACCCGACTATCAGACTATAATCAATCCTACATCTACAGCTGCACAAGTGGTCACCCAAGCAATGGAGTATGTGCGTTCTGGGTGCAGAAATCCTCCCGCCCAGCCGGTGGACTGGAATGACTACTGCAGTAGCGGGTAAGCAGCCAGTCACCGCCACCTGGTGGTAAATAGCTCTCATAGCCTGCGAGTCATGCCGTGCTCCCTAGTCGAACGAAAGACCTCTTTTCTCCCTGCTTTCTAAAAGATGATCTGTAAAGAGTCCACATCTGGGAAACATCAGAAGACACTGCTCCAGAATTTTTTAAGCGGTTTTCTAGCCATTCCAAGAGTAAAATGCCTTTTAGATCCCTGTTTGCTTTCACTGTGCTCTTTCCCAGCGTGCAACTCCATCCCTGAAGCTAGAACAAACAGACATCCCCATGGTCCTGTGGCCCACATAGTCTGTAACAAGTCATTGTCTGTCTGTATTTTCTTCACACAGGGGCATGCAGAGGGACAAAGCACTGTACCTTACCTGAAAATCTGAACACCTCTTCTTTCCACTGAGGAATTCAGGGAAGTCTTTTCATCGTGGATTGCTTTGTACAGTCAAGGCAGTTCCCCATTTTATTAGAAAATACAAGTTGCTAAGCACTTAGGACCATTTGAGCTTGTGGGTCACCCACTCTGGAAGAAATAGTCATGCTTCTTTATTATTTTTTTAATCCTTTATGGACATTGTTTTTCTTCTTCCCTGAAGGAAATCTGGACCATTCAGATTTTATGTTGGTTTTTTGCTGTGAAGTGCTGCGCTATAGTAACTGCCTTAGCAACTGTAGATGTCTCGGATAAAAGTCCTGGATTTTCCATTGGTTTTCATAATGGGTGTTTATATAAAACTACTAAAGACTTTTTAAATGGCTTGATGTAGCAGTCATAGCAAGTTTGTAAATAGCATCTATGTCACACTCTCCTAGAGTATAAAATGTGAATGTTTTTGTAGCTAAATTGTAATTTGAAACTGGCTCATTCCAGTCTATTGATTTCACAATAGGGGTTAAATTGGCAAACATTCATATTTTTACTTCATTTTTAAAACAACTGACTGATAGTTCTATATTTTCAAAATATTTGAAAAAAAAGTATTCCCAAATGGTTTTAATTTAAAAACAAATTGGCTTTGTCTCATTAATCAGACAAAAAGAAACTAGTGTTAAGGGAAGCGCAAACACATTTATTTTGTACTGCAGAAAAATTGCTTTTTTGTATCACTTTTTGTGTAATGGTTAGTAAATGTCATTTAAGTCCTTTTATGTATAAAACTGCCAAATGCTTACCTGGTATTTTATTAGATGCAGAAACAGATTGGAAACAGCTAAATTATAACCTTTACATATGGCTCTGTATTATTGTTTCTTCATACTGTGTCTGTATTTAATCTTTTTTTATGGAACCTGTTGCGCCTATTTATGAAATAATAAATATAGGTGTTTGTAAGTAAATTTGTTAGTATTTTAAAGAGGTTTCTTTGATGTTTTAACTTTTGCTGGCAAAAAAAAAAATCACACTTCTTGTGAATACTTTATTATTTAGTTTTACAGTGACATGAAAAAAAACAAACCTAATTTTCTTTTAGCAGCAAATTAAAGTAACCAATCCTTATTTCTACATTTCTTTGGTTGATACAAATGAAACCTATGATATTTAAGAACTTTCATTCTTCATACAATATAACAGAAAATTGTCCTAAAAGTTACCCAAGTTCCAAGATGAAACAGATGGGTTCTCTACCTGAAAAAGACTGCTTCTTGGTTCTCAGCTGGTTTTAGTCAAATCCCTTCCTCAGGAAAAAGAAAAAAATTAAAGTCAAATCAACCACAGTTCCTCAAGCTGCATGCTTTTCCCCAAACCCAGACAACATTTAGGAACTAAACCAGGCATGGGAGGAAGGTAGGGGAAGCATACTGTCAAGAACATACCCACAAATGAAAGGTGAGTAATCTGACAGCCAAAAAGAAAGGGAAGGGATTCTAACTTAAAAGTTGTTGATAGAAATTGTGGTTTTTGCTGTCTTTTGTGCCTCTACAAGCTACTTCTCTTTCCAGAATTCCTGGGTCTTCCAAGAGAATTCTGAGGGTACTAGAGATGTGCTAGGGAACCAATAGCATTGAGTCTGACTAAAGGTTTGCATAGCTTTTATATCAGTAAGAGCTAGCAAATTACTCCCTTGCAGGGGATTGTATTAAGAAAGCTAGTCTGGAAATCAAGAGAATGGCTGATATCTCTTTCACAGAATGTGTGAAATAAACTTAGCAATTTAACTAAATACAAATATATGCATTTTGTAATCCACTCAGAATTAAAAAGACAAAAGGTATGCTTGCTTTGGAATGATTTTAGGTATTGTACAACCTTGAATCACTTGAGCGTGTAATAACTAATAAATAATGCAGATCCAATGTGATTATTAAAATGACTGTAGCTGAGAGCTCTAATTTTCCTGTCTTGAAACTGTATAAGAACTCACGTGATTAAGTTCACAGCTTATTGTTTGTCTGTTCAGTATTTTAGAAATATACCAGCACTACTAATTACCTAATGTCTTTTATTTATTATATTATGCTAAAGTGAAATCTTCACATGCATAAAGCCAACACTGAGAAGGTAATTATGGGATGAGACCAACCGTCTCTGACTTTGATAGGCAGTTGTACAGGAAAGCACGATGTTGTTTGCAGCTCTTCTTGAGCAGGTGCGCGCCCAAGGTAGAGAGAGTGTTGAAAGTCGAAACCAAAAGCAGTAAAAAACAAATGTAAATAAAAGAAAATACATCAAAATTAAAATTCTTACCATGCGTGACCGTATTCTATTTGGATATCCATCAGTCTCTAGAGGACTGATCCAGTCTGTTAAGAAATCCCAAAGAAATTTTAAGCAAATTATGGTGAGGCACAGTTGGGATTAGTGGCTGCCCCAGCCACAGTGTTCTTCCCTGAAACACTGAGAATGCCCTCCCATCAGCCTGAGCTCCAATATGGTGAGGAGCCAGAGAAATCCCCCCACCTTGATGGAAGCCAGAATCCGGCCAGGGCAGAGCAGCTTGTGGCTTGTAACTCACAGACACAGCAATGGTGCATGTACCCTGAGGTTCCTATTACAGCCCCCTGCAGGATTCCTGGACCCCGAATGAAGTCATTCTAGGAGATGTAGAGTAACACTGAACCCATTTTACCAACACGCCAAAGTCAAAATTGTAACTTGAAAATATATTACTTTCAAAATTATATAATTTGAAAAGACGGTATGACAGTAAGTAGAAAAAGGTTGACTTGTGTCTCTAACGTACACAAGAAAGAATAACCTAAATTCCCATTCAAATGTGAACAACATTGACAATGGAAAATTAGTCAAATAATGACTTCTAGTGCATCAACTTAGTGAGCCTTGCTAAGAATGAAAGTTGGTCTCTGTGATTGTTTTCATCTGTTGCCTCAAAAGGACCAAGCCCTGTCCGAATGGGATGCGAGTGGTCGCAGGAAGCCATGGTGCAAAGAACAGTGTGTCCTGGCTCTGATTCATTACTAAGAACTTCTTTAAGTGTTTGAATTCAAATTTTAAAATAAGCACAGCAACAGCCAATTTCCTTTTTCTGTAGGTTCCTCCCTTTTACAAAAGAGATGCCTACTCGTTTAAAAGGTAATTTGATAGAACCATATGAAATTGCCAATATTTGACCTTTTCATCTACAAAAATGGAAATTTCAAATGGTTCTACCTTATATTGTTGTTAACTGGAGGTGATGGGTCTTTGGCTATAACCTCAGATATGATTTCAAATGGAGTTAAAAGTTATTTACAAATCCTAGGAGAAAATCCTCAAAGAAATAATCAGCTATGTTTGTTTACAAGATGCCCCACTTCAAATCAGCCCCAGACAGCCACATTAAATTAAACAAAGAATGTTTTAAATTACCAGATTCCAGTAAATCCCAATAAACATCCTTATTTCCTTGTTATAGTAAAACATTTTATGTGAAAATTCATAATAAATAGGTTATCTGCTGGAACATGAAAGGTTTTGTGACAGCTGTTCTCTTAATGTTTATTTGTTGAAAGGGAATTTGATCTGCATTTTCTTATTCCATTCATAACTCTCATTTTAAGGTAATACAGAAACACAGAGAAAATCATCTCTTTTGCTCATGACTGAACATTGAAGTAGTGGCCAAGCAAGGTACAGAATTCACATCATAAATTTAAGCCCCCAATACTTATTATACTGAATCACCTAATGGATGAATTCATGTGAGTCAGGCAAGCAATAGTACAAATCTCTCTTTGTTTCCCTAAAATAGAATAATTTCTTTACCTCTAAGCAATTTGGAATGTCATAGCACATAGTAGGGGCACATTAAATGCAATGTTAAATAGAAAGATCAGTGAAACATCACAAATCAGCCTCAACAGGAATTGTATGATGTTTACCTGACAATGATGATTTAAAAGCTTGTTAAATATAGGGAAATATATATTGCAGAAAAGCATAAGGAGTTGAAGAAGAATGGGAATCTTTCATTAAAAATTAAGACAATTTTCATTTGTAACTAAAGTTACAAGATTGAAAGAATTTCAAAATGAGTTGTGCCATATATTTTTGATTTACAAAATTGAACAAGAGTTTCCAGTTACAAAAACAAAAGATATAATACACACTCATCACATCACGAAAGTAAGAAGCAAGGGAGAGAAAAGGTGCTAGACGAGTAGGAGTGCTGAACACAGGAGAGGAATTTCAGGAGACAAGTGTATGGAATGCTAAACTTATGAAAGGATGCAGAATTTTTTTCCTAATTACCAAGTGTTAGTATGACTTGATGAAATAAATAAGCCATATTTCCCAGACTCTGCCTAATTAACACCTGGATAAGGAGAAATGGTCCTTTTTTTTTTTTTTAAGATTCTCAAAGATTTCCCTAGGTTTACTTGGAAGCAGGCCCCAGCATGGAACAGCTTTCCCTAACAGAGCAGTTTCCAAGTCTTTGTACAAGACTATTCCTTGGAGAGACGGGCTATGGAGCATCCTGACACCATCAACCACAAAGGAGAAAGGCTGGGAGCTGTGGGAGGGAGAGGGAGCTTCTGAACCAACATACACACACTTCCAAGTACATGTGTGTCCAGAGATATTGGACTTTGCCTTCTCGTTTCTTGCTTAGTCAACATCTTGTCCTCTGTATCCAGACCCAGACTACCCTATGGTAGGTAAGAAAAAGTGAAGATGAAGCTCTCGTGCTGGGATCAGGAACTGAGAACAATGGTGTATTGTATTTCAGCACTGGTCAGAGTTGTGCTTTACCGATGGAGCCCACCAACATGAGTCCTGTGATTGTCATCATTTCACATTTTATTAACAGCTTGCTAGCAAAGACATTTGAAAGTTAAATTTCATTCACACTGACATGAGGCCAGAAAAAAAAAAAGTAACTGGAAAATAAAATGGAGAGACTTATAATTCTACAAGAAAAAAAATCATTCTAAAGAAAGACTATGAACCAAACTACAGTATTTTAAAAGCTGCAGAGTCCTTGTTTGACAATTGTATGTTTACAATAAGCCTAAACATAATTGCCCTGATGGGCTGTCAGGGAAAAGATTAATTTGGCAAAGATTAGTATTGACTTGCTGTTTATTAAGGCTTTTAAACAGCTGTATCTGGCAGCATTCCTGTGAGTGCCTGTCATATCTGAAAATCAGCCTCACGCCCTGGTGCTCGCCAGCTGTTACTAAACAATCTTCTACCACTTTGAATGTCTTTCTCCAGGCCAAACAGCAAGAGCAAACTAATGCCAAATGAGCCTTTTTCTCCTCCTGTCACTTTTTTTTTTTTAAGGTGGGGGTGGGGGAGCTTCTGAACACTGAAATGTCAGCTCGTGGCCGATGGCTTAGCTGATAAGAGGTGCCGGAAGTCAGGAGGTGGTTTGGGTGCTAGATGAATATATTCCCCACATACAGAGTGGTAATGCTGTTAGTCACTTCACACAGACAAAAAACCACAGCTTGCAACTGTTGTAAGGCAAAAGGTTTTAAAAGACAGTTAGAAAGTGGCCATCAAAGGTTTAGAGCCATCAGATTTCCAGAATGAATGCTTTGTTTCCTCAGACTAGCACAGGCCCTCTTGGCCATTAACACTAAGAAAAGCCCCCACAGTGGGATGCTGAGGAAAAGTTAGGTGGTGGCTATTATTCTTTATCATATGAACTGAGGTTTCTCCCTAGAACTCAGAAAGAGGATGTGCCACCTCACATTTTGATTTAGTGGAAACCTGTAGAATAAGACAGGTTTGGATGTTTTCAGGCCTGTGAAAGAAAGGGCAGATTGAGTTTTATACTAGAATAAGACCCAGTACTTTCAAATCCAAGAACAGTCATAAAGGCAATGGAAAGAATAACATTCCAATGGAGTTAAACATCAGGCTATAAAGGGCCCAGTGTTAGGGTGAAAGT